GTAAATAGTGCCAAGATTTTGCCAAATAGGTCAATTTGTGAAAACTTGGAAGCCTACCCTGGTTGGTATTTTTGGCCCTGTCCATCGTTTCTTCCCCTCCAACTAGGAGCACAGAGGGCTTCTCAGAGAGAAAGGAGAGAATGGCAATGCAGAAGGAAAAAGTTACATGCAGAAAGCCGAAGCAGGCTTATTAAGGGCTTTGGAAATGTTATTCCTAATGGGTTAGATTTCTCCATCTTCCATCTCCTTACATGGATGGAGCTCCCTTTGAAGTCTTTGGAAGCTTTGTGTAAGAAAAAAAAAAAGTGTATGTACATGGGTGTGAGCTGAAAATTGAGCTCATTGTTTTGGCCTTTTAAAATGTGTTTTTCAAAGATTTGCCTTTCATACTGCAGATGGGAGAGAGGATGTACAATTTTGCCTCATGTAACATCTTTTGCCTGAAAAGCTCACAGTATTTGTAGACTTTTTTTCCCCCCCTAAATGAATGGTCTCCATGTTTGCCTGCTGAGGAAGGTAGAAGTCTGTGTAATTTACTTGTATTTTACACCTGAGGAAACTGATATTTAAGGAAAAAGGGGCTCAACATCCTAAGCAGAAGCAGAATTAGGAAAACAAGGGCAAATTTTGGCACCAGGCTGATGACACCCACTGTGATGAACCCAGAGGCTGAAGGTGATCTCCCAAATACAGGCTGACATGAGAAACACATCTACCATAGTTATTCCCAAGTCCCATTTTAGCATGGACCTTGCATTTGCTATGCAGGGACTTTTGTACTTCTTTGACCTTTTTTTTTAAATGGATTGTGCTGTTTGTAGTTTTAGTCCACTTCTGAATTTGGATCTGTTCTTGAAATTGCGTTTCAGTTGTAGACATTCAAAGTCACATTAAGTACCAAAGAGAAACCAAACCAGTTGTAAAGCCACATTCATGTCTGTGTGTAACAGTTGAAATTATATTTTGAATGACTTTTTATGTACTCAGAAGACAAATATAAAATCAAAGCTATGTATTTAAGGTCTCTTTGTAAGGGTGTGACTGAAGGTATAAAGTCAACTGAACATGTACATCAAAATAATTTTTTTCTACAAAGATCGAATTTAGTCCTAGGTAATTCTATTTAAATTGTTTGTTTAAACTCTTAAGCAATTGAAAAAGGACCAACAAAACCACTTTTGAAGAGTAAAAATTATGTCAACACCCTTTAAAGAGATTCCATTATGTCACGTTAATGCACCTACTTGTTCTTTTACTGTTCCTTGAATGTTTCAAAGTGTATGGCCGAATTGTTCAAATAAAACAAATCAGATGCTTAAAAGAAGAAGATTGGGCCGGTATTGTGGTGTATTGAGTTAAGCTGCAGTTTGCAGCCGCAGCAGCAAACATCCCACCTGGGTTCTGGTTCGAGTCCTGTCTGCTCCACTTCCAGTAGCCTGCTAATGCACTCGGGAAATACAGTGGGAGGTAGCCCAAGTGCTTGAGCCCTTGACACTGACATGAGCGACCACATCGGAGCCAGATGCTGTTCCTGGTACCTGGCTTCAGCCCGACCACCCTGGTGGTTGTAGTCATTTGGGGAGCGAACCAGCAGAGAGAAATTTGTCACTGTTAACTCTGCTTTTCAAATATACTTCATCTTTTAGAAAAACAACTTTAAAAAAGAAGTAATTCCTGACTTCAGGGAGCAGTGCAGTTGGAAAGTAGCCACTAGTTGCAGACCACTTGAGGGACTCCAAGTTTTCAGGACTGCTGGCTGCTACCAGAGCTGCCAATACTCGGCATGCCAGGTGGGCTGCTCTGTTGGAGAAGCTTCAAGCTTCTCAGTGACAACCGAGGTTGCGCCTTCTACAGCTGCTGGGGCCTGGTACCTGTCACCTCATCTCAGCTTTTCACTTCCCCTGACTCCTCATTTCCAGTTCACACACACTGGCCTCAGGGCTCAGCACCACAGTCTCCTTCCGGCAGGGTGGGGGGAGTTCAGGCCTGTGTCTGGGATGCACCATAGACCTCAATATCAATTTGTGTGGCAGGGGCCATTTCTTTTAGCCTTAAAAGGTCAACGTAGATGCCAGAATCTGTTGTTTTCTTCCATTGTTGCTGGAGGTACATGCTCATATCTACATGGAAAACCAATGTCCATTGTGCCAAAGTGATGCTAGCAAATAGGAAAGTAGAATCCAGTGTCTTGAAAGGCTGTGGAGTGAGGATCTGGTATACCATCGTGTCATCAGTCGTGTGGTGTGGGTGACTAGTTCATAGTCCCCACTGTTGGATCTTAGAAATAACTTACTGTTGCAAGGAATGTTGGATTTCTACCTAATTGTTTATTTGAAAGAGCTAGAGAGAGAGATCTTGCATCCACTGATTTCCTCTCCAGCTGGCTGCAGTGGTCTGAACTGTGCCTGAAAGAAGCCAGGAGGTAGGAGCTTCGTGCAGGTCTCTTAAGGGGGTGCCAGGGACCCAACACTTGGGACATGTTGTGTTGCTTTGCCCAGGCTGTAAGGAGCTGGATGTGATGTGGAGCAGCCAGGACCTAAACTGGTGGTGTCCTGCTGACTTTGCTCTATCCATTGCATCACAGTGTTGGGCTTCAACATATTTAATTTATGTCTATAAAATATGAGTCAATAATAAGGGCTTTTAGTTTTCACTTTATGACTAAGGAAATAGACCCAAACCAGGATCTCCCCTACACGGGGCATTTGGGGTTAGTTAGTTGTTCGGAGCCAAACGGGACAAACTGACGTGACCCAGGGAGTCCTCCATACCCATGCTTCTTTCCTGTGAAAGCTGTCATTTGAAGGAAGGAAATTTTCTGCTTTCATTAAAGTTGACCTGCACTTGCAGCTCAGGGATGAAACTTTTCTAAAGCAACAGGCGTGGTCTTCATTTACTATTGTCCTGAATGGGTTTGGCCAGCTGGGAAGATTTCTATTCAAGGCATTTGAAAACTAGCTATGTTAACAAAAGCAAAAAAAAAAGGGGGGGGGGGAAGGGGTTCCCCCCAGGTCAGATTTCATCATACCTGTGGATAGATGTATTTTTAATGAAAACATGGACAGAAAACTGGGTTTCCTGTGAATCAATATGCCAGCTGACCACCCTCCCAAGACCTTCCCGCGTCACTAGCGCCTATGGCTAACTGTTGACACTAGGAGGCCACTTTGTGTATTTAATAGAAAGGTGATTTCTTTGGAGGCCTGACAGCTGTTGGTGTCAAAGCCATTGTGTAGGAAACAAAAGCCGGCCCATTCTGTTTCCCGGCTGCCTTTGTATCATGGTTTCTGAGCCCTCTCAGAATGAGGTAGGTTCTTTCCCCTCCAGTTGCTTTCCTGTCCATGATGTAGTTGACCCTTCCAACAGTGGAGGGGAATGCCTAGTGGAAGGAATCTCGGGAAGGAATCCTGGTAAGATGTTTGCATCTTCTGTGTGTTAGATCTGTGATTCGATGATTTCTTTAATGCTGTATCCTCAGAATCAGGCTTTCACCATCTAAGTCCCAGGCTGGCCTGGAGGGAATTTGCTGGGGGCTTGTTAGGCTTAGAAATGAAGCAGGGTCCAGCACAAAGTGGCACCTGCGTGCGACCAGTATGAACTAGAACTCTTGGCTCAGTTCTCCATTGACCTTTTGAAACAGACTGGCCTAAGTAATTGAGGGGACACTTTAAGGCTGCCTCATTCATCCCTGCTTTCCTCCCTCCCTGGGATGGGCCCTTTGCTGAAGGACAAAAGGTACCTTCTCCTTGGAGTAAGTGGAGTACCGTATCTTCTCGACCTGGATTCTACTGCATGACTGACTGATTGTGGACAGCGGGCAGAAAGAACTGCTTGTGTTAGCTTACCCTGCTCACACTGTTAACATTGCCGTGAGAAGAAAAGGCCCTGGCGCTCTGAATCTTGAGATGAACATATAGAGGAAATGTGGAACATATATACAATGGACTGTTATTTGGCCATGAAAAAGGATGCAATCCTGTCATTTGCAGTAAATGGATGGAACTGGGGGTCACTGTCAGGTGAAATAAGCCAGGCACAGAGAAAGACAAATGTCACCTGTTCTACTCAGATGTGGGAGAAAAAGTTAACATAAAACCCAGAACCCAGAACAAGTGAATGAATACTAGAGTCTGGGAGAGGTGGGGGAGGGAGGAGGCAGGTATAATGGGGACCAAATCAGAAGGAGTAAGTTTCCAGTGCCATGAGATGGTGCTACCTCTATTTCCTCGGAATCACCCCAACCCTAGGAACACCGCAAGGCATTGTTCCAGCCTAACAAATCCATCCAGTTGAAGAACTGAACCTCTGCCATGTAGTCAGCCATCTAGACAGGGGCCAAATGTCCACCCTCTTTGAATTTATTTATCTCTAATAGATTCAATTTGGTTGTTAAATTCACTCCCCGTTTCTTCTCTCTGTTTCTGCACCTCTTTCCTAGCTATTATTGTTAATAATAAACCACTTTAGGGTCCTGAAAGTCTGAGCAATTCTTTCCATTCCGCGGCTGTTTGTCATTCAACAAATATTATTGAATGCTTACTGTCCACGGGGTTCTGTGTTGAGTGGTATGGGAGACACAGAAGGGAAGAAGAAATAGTGCTCTTTGTTCAGGTACGCAAACTAATGTGAAAGGTTTCAGGGAAACCCAGGATGGGAGGAAAAACCTGGAAGCATTCACAGTACTGCAGACACCCAGGGAGAGCTTGGCTGTCTTCTTGTAGAACTGTTGATCTTGTCATCACTAACCTTCGAATATTTCCAATCTACATGAGATATCTGCCCTAAATTACACAAGAATCGTCATCCAAACCAAGCATTGTTTGGTGACCCAGGCTAAGTGCAGATTCTTCTGGTCTTACATTAAATACCTTCCTGAGAGTTTTGCCAGGGTTGCCGCACGAGCATGATTCTGTTTCAGTAATGTTCTGGCTAGAGAAGTCCACGTGCCTTGTGACGTTGTTCTCTAGTTCCTCCTTGTGTCTGCGTTTTTCTCCCCCCAGATGAGTTATGCCTTGAACCACACAAACAGAAAGCTGACATTGGAGTCTAAAATAACCGTCAATGCCAGGATCGTTGTGGTTGGTGCGTCCAGTGTGGGCATCTCCTTCTTGGAGACACTGGTGTTCTGGTGAGTTCTGAATTTATTTACAATAGTAAAAATTCTCTTTCTGTATCCACAATAGAACCTCTTGAGAGACAAGGTCTGAATTTGTTTGTTCTGCCTATATGAATTAATGAGGGTGATGGAATATTCTAGACGAGCAGTTAGCAAACTAGAACCTCCCGGCCAAATATAGCTTGCTGATGTGAGTAAAGCATTATTGGAACATAGTCATACTCAAAATGATTTATTGACATATTTAGAAGGCCAGGTGATGAGAGCGCTTCCATCCTCTGATTCACTCCCCCATAAGGCTGTAGCAGCCGGGGCTGGCAGAGGCTGAGGCCAGCAGCTTGAACTTTACTCCTGGTTTCCCCCGTGGGTGGCAGAGGCCTACGTAGTTGAGGCATCACCAGCTGTCCTTCCGTGTGAGCATTAGCCAGCAGCTGGAACCAGGAGTAGTACCCCTGGGACTTGAACCCCAGGCCCACACCAGAGTGTCTTAACCACTAGGCCAAGTACATATCCCACAAGCGTTTTTAAATGAAGCATTATCAGGGTGGAAATGTGACTTCATAACAGTCAAGAAGTTATCATAAATAGGTCTTAAATCTTAATCTAGCCGTATACCTAGTCATAATGGTTTGTTTAAACTGATTACATTAAGATATACACATGTAATTTTCTTTTGGTGGAATTGACTTAGATTTAATCAAGATAAATATAAATTTTGATGTAAATCCTTGGTTGATTAAATTCCCCAATCAGGCAGACCTTTTTAAAGCATTTTAAAGTACCCATAATTCTCTATCATTGTTACACAGATTATGTCCACTAAAAATAGACTGGTATCAGTTTACGGAACTCCAATCCTTAAGAGAGGAAATAGTTCTCTCATCATTTTCTGTAATTATTTTAAATCAGCAATTGCCATAGTAACTGGCTGCCATTCGAACTAAACTTTATAAATTATTTGAGCTGGAACAAATTAAAAAAACAAAGTTTTCACTGATCGCCAACAGCCAAGGAGGATTAAATCCACATTTTGGAAGACAAGAATTAGAAAAAAGAAAAAAAAGCCACCTTGCTTGCACTCTCAGGTTGCATGAACAGGCCCTGCAGGTGCCCTGTAGTTCCTGGAAAGTCCGTTTGTGGCCCAGCACAGTCACCTGTGTTTCCCAAAAATCTGGTGGTCCTGTCATCTGGTGACATAACAGACATCACTCTTGGTCTTTTCTGTTATTTCCATGCAAGACATTATAAAGCACATCTGGTCTCTTCTTCAAAGGACACCAGAAGGCGATTCTTGCATAAATTCTGTGCCATTATTGAGTCCATTGTGTCCTGCCCCCTCCCCCATCTCCCGGACCCCGTCAAGTGCTAAGGTGTCACCAGCAAAAGTCCGCCCCTAATGCATTGGAATACCTGCCTGGTTCCGACTGGGAGCATGAAGAATAGGACTTTGTGTGGGTGTGTGTGTTCTCGTTGGAAAGACAGAGAAATCTCCCCCATCTACTGGTTCTTTCCAAATGCCCTCAACAGCTGGAACAGGCCGCATCCAGATGCCAGGAGCCCAAGCCAGGTCTCCCATGCATGTGCCCGGGACCCACGTAGTTGAACCATCACCCACTGCTTTGCCACAGTGAGTGGCAGCAGGAAGCTGGACTTGGACATAGAGATGAAACTCGAGAAGCAATGCGGGACGCCAGTATTTCCAGCAGAGTCCTAACTGTTGAGCCAAGTGTTTTGTTTTATCTTTTAGCTCAGCATTCTGCCTGACCTTCTCAGCTGCTGTCCATCCCCAGTTCCCTCAGCATAGACACACCTGGACATTCCTTCTGGTCTGTAGTGGCCAGGCCTGTGAGTCACCTGCCTCCTGTCCTTCCCAGGGCAGGGCCGCTCAGATCCTCCTGTCCTTCCCAGGGCCTAGTGACACGTGTCAGGCATCTCCCTGTGGACATAGACCAGTGTTACAGGCTCTGGCCTCCTCTGCCCTCCCAGCGACTGCACCGAGGCCAGGTGAGGGCCTGACAGCCCTGTTGGCAGAGCTTCCTGCAATTGTCATTAGCTTTGGAGAGAGGCCGCTGACCAGTGAGCGACAGAGGGCAGGGGGCAAGGGTCACTCAGGTTGGGGTGAGGCTCAGCTCATTTCTTCATAGACTCTGGGCCTGCACACTTGGATTTTGAGGGTGCCAAGCAGAAGCAACTCTGGAAGAGCCAAAGAGGGGGCCGTGTGGACTCTGCCCCTTTGGTCTTGGCCAGGCCGTGGGCGTCCCTGGCGTGACTGAGGGGCTGAGCATGGGGAGAATGGGGCAGCAGAGCACGGGTCAGGGTGGCTGTTCCATGCATCAAGGGAAAACATGACGGCTCATTGACCGTGCAAAGGGCAGTGGACTTGCAGCGAGAAGGCAGGTGCTGAGATGTTCCTCTGTGGTGCACTTGTCTGCCGTGACACCCAAGGGGTTCGGGTGATGGGCCTGAATTATTTTAAAATTACAGTTCTGGAGAACAGTGGATTGTGTCTGTGTCTGCCCTGGCTCTCTGACACAGAAAGCTCTTCCCTGGGTGCCCCTAGTTGTTACACACACCTTGTTCTCTGAGCAGCCCTAATGACCCCGAGTAAAGTGCACAGAACCTGTCCCGGGCGGGACAGCCCACCTCTGACTTGTAGTGCCACAGCTAGTCCCCGTATCTGTGCCAGGGCAGGGTCACAGCAGGGGGTCCCAAGGTTCTGCCCCCACCCACCCTATCTGGGGTTGAAGTGAACGTCCCCAGTCCTGGATCGGCAGCCAACTCTCATCATGGCTTCCACGGCATCCATCAGGGAAACTCTACTTCCAGAACCTCAAAGCTTTTCAGGGACATGTAAAAGCCTCTTGAACAAAACTCAGAAAGTCAGATCTTACTCCTTAGGGCACCAAGCCTAGTCCTACGGAACTCCCCAGATGTATTATTATGTTGAATGTGAGATGCTCCAAAGTCAAACTTAGAGATGTGAGGGCCCAGCGCAGTAGCCTAGTGGCCAAATCCTTGCCTTGCATACGCCACCAGGATCCCATATGGGTGCCAGTTGGTATCCAGCTGCCCTGCTTTCCATCTAGCTCCCTGCCTGTGGACTGGGAAAGCCTTGGAACCCTGCACCCTGCATGGGAGACCCAAAAGAAGCTCCTAGCCCCTAGCTTCAGATCAGCTCAGCTCTGGCCATTGTGACCGCTTGGGGAGTAAACCAGTGGACAGAAGATTTTCCTATCTTTCCTCCTCTCTGTGTATTTGACTTTCCAATAATAAATAAATAAATCTTTTTAAAAGGCCTATGGAACTGTATCATAAAATGATAATAATAATAATAATAATAAAATGGGAAAAAAAGCAGCTATCCCTCCTCCCAGAAAAGGAAAAAGAAAAGAAAGAGACTCAGAACCAGCAGATAGGAGCTTTATCTCTGTGTCTCTCTGATTAATTTTTCAATGATTTTGAAAAAAATCAAAATAGAAGTGCAAAGCTACAGGCCCTGCCCGGCACAGGGTCCCAGATAGATGCCCTGCCCCAGGCCGGGTTCTTGCAGTGCCATCAGTATCTTTGGGCACAGACTCGCTGTTCAAAGGCCTCCTCCGTTCCTTCCTGCCCCCTCCTTCTGATTCAGTCCTTCTGTGTGTGTGTGTGTGTGTTTTCACAGTTTGTAGCATTTATTCCTTTTAATCGCTTTTTTTTAAAAAAAAAATCCTGCCTAATGCAATTCAGACGTGAAGTATCTCTAAAGAACCTGTACAGGTACTGGGGGGAAAAGCATTAAAGAAATCATAAGATGCCAGTAGCTGAAGGCAGCCGGGTTGGGGTAGGGTAGAGTGGTGGGAGGCAGTGCTAATCCCTTCGGCCTTGTGGGACTGGAGAGAGAAGGATGCTTCTGACTCAGGGAAAGTGCTGGAAAGCCCAGGACTCGTTGGCTCCCTCCCACTTCCACTTAGGAGAAGCGGTGCTTCCTAGCAACTGGACCCTCACTCATCTGGTTGGGACCCAAGGGGACTAAGAAGAGCTTGGAGCAGGCCGGCATGTTCTCAGAGCTGCCACCATGGCCGAGTGACCGTAACTGTTATCTCCGTTCCGCACAATCTCCAGCACAGCTGTGGGCACTGGCAGCAGCCAGCCCTGTGCCCGCAGCTTAATTAGCCTTTCTTGTCTTTTACATTTGTCCGAAGACATCAGAAACCTGCCGTGTGGCCTGTCACTGATTAGGTGACTAAATTAAATAGGCAGTGCTTCCTTGTTCATCTCGGGACCATTTGCCCCTCTTCTGCCACACCCCAAGCTGGTGACCATGCCTGTCCAGCAGGTCAACCTCTGCCGCACCATGGCCCTGGTGACAGGAGGACAGAAGCAGATAGTGATGCCTGTGGCCTGTGTAGGGCCACCCACCTTTCATCTGGAGTCAGCTGGTGTCTTGCCAAGTCTCCATCATGACATCAGGGTGGGACCATCAGAAACTACACAGAGGCCACAGTGATGGCAGGGGCAGGGCTGCGGGCAGGCTGGGAGGGTGTGTATGTGTGTGGTACCAGGCCCTGCCTCCCCAGGCACTAGCCATTGTTGACATTTTGTTGAAGGACAATGGCCCAGAACTCACCCTGGTGTCACCAATCACAATTGGGCTTCCTGATCAGAAACCAGGACTTCAATGTAATTCATATTAAATAATTTACCGACAGTAACTTTCCTTGCCTTCTGCAACCTGTTTTAGAAATTCCTGGGGATTTAAGAAAAGCAATGCTCTTTGATGGAAAGTGGAGCAGCCAGGACATGAACCAGCACCCTCCTGGCACTTGCAAGGCAAGGATTTAGCCACTGAGCCATAGTACCAGGCCCAAGCAGTGCCCATTGAGCCAATATTAGCACTTTGGCAGGAAGAGAGGTCAACTTGTCATTTCCATGGATTCTCTGTGATTCCTTCGGGTTCAGGATGTCTGCTAGGAGCTGATTCTTCATGGGCACACATAGCACAACCCCACACCCTGACCTGGGAGTGTGTTCAC